CCAAGATGGTAGCAGGAGAAAGCTTCACTAAAAAAAGAAAAAACTCATACTCATTAGGATGGCAACTATAAAAAAAAAAAAAACCCGCTAAACTAAGCAAGAAAATAACAAGTAATTTGGGATGTGGCGAAAATGGAACCTTTGCGCACTGCTGGTGGGAGTGTAGAATGGCGTAACTGCTATGGACATGGCATGATGGTTCTCTGAACTACCATGTGATCCAGCAGTTCCACTTCTGGGTGTGTACCCAAAAGAATGAAAAACAGAGACTCGCAGAGATATTTGTACATCCATATTCATAACAATATTTTTCACAGTAGCCAAAAGGTTGAAGCAACCCACGTGTCCATTGACGGACAAATAGAACAAAATGTAGTACAACCAGACAATGGAATATTATTCTGCCTTAAAAATGAAGGAAATCTCGACACATATTGCAACATTAAGGAAACTTAAGGATATCATGCTGTGAAATAAACCAAAGAAGGACAAATACAGTATCATATGAGGTACCTACAGGAGTCAAATTCATAGACAAAGTATCAATAGCATGGTGGTTGCCAGGAACTGGGGGGAGGGGGAGATGGGGAGAGAGCTTCCATATGGGAGGATGAAAAGAGTTCTGTAAACGGATGCTGGTGATGGTTGCACAGCAAGGTGAATGTGCTTAATACCTCTAAACTGTACGCTTAAAAATGTTTAAGATAGTCAATTTATGTTATATATATATTACCACAATTGAAAAAAAATTTGTTTTTAAAAGGGAGATAATATCAGGAAAACGCCACATGGGCAAATAAATACCAGGTATTTCTGTGTAAACCTTCTGAATGAAGATCATTCTGATGCTTGTTTGGCTTCTTGAAAAATAAAATAAAAATTACAGAAACTTAAAACAGTCCTTCTGGAAGCTGAGCTCATAAATATAGGAGTCCAGGATCCGAAGACAAAAGTCTGGGATATTTTGCATGTGAGAAACAGGTTGGAGCTGCCCTTTGACAGAAAATATCATACTCGTGTGCACATGGGCAGGGACAGCCTACAAAGATTCAGAAAGAACTCTTGTCCCCTCCTCCCATCTGACTTTTCATGGGGCTGCAAGAACAGGAACGGTGAAGACTCATTTTCCTTCTCCCAAGTCTGTGAGATTGTCCCTAAAATCCTCTTCCCACGGACCACCAGTCTCCTGAGCCCAGAGGTGCAGTAGCTGTTCAGAAGAAGTTTCAGAGAGAAAAGAGAGTCTAAAGAAAGCACAGCCCATGAAAAACAAGGCTGAATTAGTGCTTCCTTCTGAAACCACAAACGTAAATCCGTTTGAGCCCTTTTATTTTTATTTACCACACAGAGGTCTTTATGGACAAGGTGTAGGCTGAAGACCTCGGTATGGATTATGTTTTCATTGTTGGTTTTGTTCTGTTCTGTTTTGTTGAGTTTTCTTCAGGTAGGAACTTTGAATTTTTACACTCAAAATGAATAAACCCTACTGCCGCCCTGGGCGCGCATTTCTACACAGAAGGAAGGCTCTGCTGGAGGCCCCTGGTTCAGCAGCAAGTCTGCTGGGCTGTGTGTTGGCCTGGCTTTTTGGAGAGGGGTGTGGCTGCCCAAGAATTCACAAAAGCATGCCGAAAAGACAATTGAAAATAAAAATTAAATTTATGTTTCTAGAGAGATTAAGGCAGGGAGTCATTTAGACGGGGAAAAAATATTCCCAGTCCGGGGCTAAGTCTTAGGAAACGGAGAACTCAGTCTCTGATGGGACGCCCTATTGTACAATCCAGTGATTTTCAATTAAGGGTCCACGAGGTTGTGAAAGCTATTTTTCATATTTCAAACAGCCTATTGGCAATGGAATGTCTGCCCAAGACATGGCCACGTGGGCTAAATGAAAAGTCAAGTTGTTTCGTGTTTGAGCTGGCAGCCTATCAAGTTAGTGTGGTAACACTGGTGGTTCTGGCCCAGATCAGAAACTCTGACTGGTCATTGATGAGGTCAAGGGCATTTCTTTTTTTTAATTTTCAATGATTTCTCTCTTTTTTGGCTGCGGCGTGTGGCGTGCGGGATCTTAGTTCAGTTCCCCGACCAGGGATCGAACCCCTGCCCCCTGCAGTGGAAGCGCAGAGCCTTAACCATCCTGACCGCCAGGGAAGTCCTGAGATCAAGGGCATTTCTGGAATGAGATTTTTTCCTTCCCATTCTATTGTACGTCTTCAGTTAATAAAAATGAAATTACAGCTGGATTATTACTTGTTAATTGCAGCTTGGCAGGCAAAATCTTGCAGAACCTGGCTCACCAAAGGAAAAAATAAGAGGGATCCCTGGCGGTGAATATTTGGGAACCACTTTTGATCCGCCCCTTCCCCTCCCCCGGACATACACAATTCCAAGGGAATAAACAGGCTTCCCTGGAGCCAGAGTGGAACATGCCTATTGCGTGAGAAAACTCAAAGAGAGACAGTGTAAATTAACTGCATCTGGTTAGATGGAGCGAGTAGGGGGAGGAGATAATTAGTTGGCGTTATAGGAACAAGGGCAAAGAAGAGAGTTACATATTTACTCAGAGGAAATCCAAAATAGACTACTTAGCACCCGTTTGGTGCTCATGGGTCATCTCAACATCTCTAAGCCGGCAGGTGTTGAACCCAGGGACCAGAGACACCGCTCAAGCCCTGGATGACACAAGACACCCATCCCACCTCCGGCAAATGGAACCCTGCCTTCAATCCCCTTTCCCTTCCACAAATGAAGGGAAGAAGGCAAAGGAATGCCCAAAAGACAGGAGCAAGAAGCAAGATTCCGGTGAAGAAACAAGCAGTGTCTTCAAACAAAATCCCTACAACGAGGAAGCCGAACCAACGCATCTGTTTATAATAAGATGAGTTCTCTAAAAATCTGATCCGGGTCAATTTATAGCACCCTTTGGTATGTATGTTTCCATGTGTAGATGCACAACATTTCGGAAGTAACACATATTTCAAGTGATGCAGAGACATCGCTGGGCTGTTTTATTGTGCACAGGCTAGTAAAAATAAATGCCACAGTCACATAAAGCTCCTTAAGACGCAGCTAAAATACAATTTCCACCTTCCCAGAAGAATTTAAAGCATTCTAGCACAAACAATGAAGGCACACAACCTGAAAATCTTTCCTCTCCATAGATGCCAAAAACCTACGTACATTAACATGTGTATTAGGTATAGCATGTTCAGCTCTCTCCCCGAGTTCAGGTTCTACATAGTTTCTGAGAGAAAGAACTGCTACTAGGTGCAGAGCCTTTAGGATGTGTGCTTATGAGATGTAAGGTGCAGGTTAGCATTTACGGGTTTGTAAACATTTCTAAAGCTGGTTTATGGGTTGTTTATTACAAGAAAAGATGTAACAACCATGAGGTTAGAGTACCCTCTTGAAAGAGGAGCTAAAATTAGTTAAAAAAAAAAAAAGACTAGATGAAGATTAGTGAGCTCAGTGGACACGCTGGAAAGGACGGCATCCGTGTCGAGGCTGCCCTCATGGGCTCCATATTCCCCAGAGGATCCAAGTGCATCCTAGGAAGTTGGGAAATCATGTCAAGTGTGATCACATAAATTGGGACAGAGAGTGCTGGGAGGAAAAGTTTGTGGCAGTGAGAGGATCACAGGCCAGAAGTAAGGACAGCTGTGTTCTAGGGCCAGCTCTGCTCCAACCAGCTGTGCAACGGCGGGCAAGTCGTGTCACCGTTCCCGAGTTCAGTCTTTTCGCCAATCAAATGAGAAAGACAGCTGGCCCCCAAGAGTTCTTACAACTCATTAATTTTAAGCTTCTGTGCGCTTTCAGAAAAACTAAAAAAATTCCAGAGCTCCCTAAATTGATGTCACCTGAACCCCCTAAGACCGGCAGCATATACATCCAGCAAACATTCTCTATTTGTCTATCATCATCCTCCAAGGATCTCCGAGAATACTGCAAAACTGCCATGGATATTTTAGCTACCTTCTGAAACCTACAGCAACAGGCCATACCCTCCAGGTATACCCTTCACGATACTATTGAACAGAGATGTTGAGTGCTTTGTCCAAGGTCAGAAGCTAGGACAGGATCAGAATTCCAGCCTCTTCATTCCTAGGGTTATGCTATACTTTCCACGAAGAAAGCAAGCTGGCTTTCTGGGAAGAATGCCAGAGGTTCCATTCTCCCAACTGAGAATTCATTGGAATATTGGAATAACAACTTTGGAGACTGTGGTCTCTCCAATCCATTTCAGGACCTGTCTAGAAACACAAAAACCCAGAGAAAGAAGCAAGAGGGAATTATTCCGTTTTTTAACGAAAGAGAAAAAAATTAGGGGTGGGAATATGGGATTTCTCAAAAATTACATGATTGCTGGAAGTTAAATTGGTATTCCTTCATTGGTTTGTAAGTTCTGTTTCCAATCACAAAAACATACAGCTGAGGATGCCGAAATCACATTTCAATGAATTAGCATCTTGTCCCAAAGAATCTTTCCCACTCTGAACAAAACATAGAACCCAGAATGCAACCCTCTATGGTAGAAAGGAATCTCCCTCAGTGCAACAGAGAGCTTGTCATCATCCTCTAAACCATAATCTAATTTGACAGTCTTCAAGCCCAACAGCACAATCACGGAGAATGATAAGAAAGTTACTGCGTAACTTGGGATATACTGCCTCTTCTAGGAAACTGATTGAGACCCTATCCTGCCAGATGGGAGAGATGTCATCCTTTACCATCTTTTACCATCCACACACGCCTTATTAGGCTGAAGTCAGTGCACCTGGAAAATAATCCCATCATAGATTTAGAGACATATGTTCAAAAAGGAAGGTTCTGACTTCTTCCAAGAAAGGCCAACCAAAACAAGAAAACACATGTTGGACCAGCTCCAAGCCTTGAAGATAAAATGAAACCAACCTTACGGCAAAGCCCAGTGATCCACACTCAGAGTTGAGATTCTAAAGGAAAGAAACCAGAAACAGTTTTTTTTTAAAATCACTTTTTCCCCCTACCTGTCGATGATGACAGGGTCTGAAGGAGTCTCATTTCGGTTGCCACAACTTTTCTTTTCGCAACATCGACTGTAGATTGGGGAGGGGCCAAAAGAGTAAGAGAAATGCGTTAAAATCAAGAAAACACAATGAGCACACAATGTAAGAACATTCACGAAAACGGGTACGTCCTAGGGAACTGCTCAACTATCAGTTGCTCGAGCATGAGTGTATGGCCATGTTCAACAGCAACGCTAAACTTGAGCGTGAGTGTATGGCCATGTTCAACAGCAACGCTAAACTCGAGCGTGAGTGTACGGCCATGTTCAACAGCAACGCTAAACTCGAGCGTGAGTGTACGGCCATGTTCAACAGCAATGCTAAACTCGAGCGTGAGTGTACGGCCATGTTCAACAGCAACGCTAAACTCGAGCGTGAGTGTACGGCCATGTTCAACAGCAACGCTAAACTCGAGCGTGAGTGTACGGCCATGTTCAACAGCAACGCTAAACTTGAAACCCAGACTCTTCATTCAAATTCTCCCTCTGTGACTTATAAACTGGGTCATTCTCAGCAAATCACAACTTTTCTGAGAGCTATATTTATAATTTGAATGATGGACAATTGGATTTTAAGATCCAGAACATCACCTCCAGCTCCGTGATGAATGATTTTATTATTGTATTTATTATCATATATTTTTAGATCTTTGTGTCTTAACAAATACTTGAAGGAAGAGGGGAGAGGAAAATGTATGCAAAAGGCCCCAAGTAGCTGCCTGGATTACTATAAACCTTAGTTATATAACATCTTTCTTCAGAGAACTCAGTGTACTTTGTAACCATTTATTCATTCATTCATTTCCATTATTTTCTAAAGATGAAGAAAGAAGACAGGAACTATGGTGTGCCTTGTCAAATAGGGGAAAAAATGAGGCAGGGAGCTGTAAAGTGATATCTCCAATAATTTTCAACAAGTCCAGAACAGAAATGGGACTCGGCACGGAAGCCCCATCCTGCAAACTCTGCGTCCCAAGACTTCCACTGGCAAAGTGCTGGGTTTCAGGTAGATACCCGCAAAATGCTTACGGAATCATCTGAGAGGAAGAGAGAAAGAAGGGGCCCTAGAGCAAATACAACAGATGGGAAGGACTCCGTAGGACCTAAAGAGAACAAATATGAAAAGGGCAAGGGAGGCTGGGTGGCTGGAAGCACTGGAAAATCACATCCCTGTGCTGCCTGTCTGCTGCTTGTCAGGACCACAAGACTTCTAAATACCTCTCGGCTCATCCAAGCATGTGGTCCACCATGAATAGGAGCTGGTGAAGGATGTAGCCTTGACATGGCTTATAAGAAAAGCATTATCATCCACACCAGTTGGAGAATATGTGTCATAAATGTTAGCGATAACCAAATTTATGTGTTACCCTTCCCGTGATAGTTTCTGTATAGTTTAAGATCGATGCAGCACGATAGAAGGACCGGTAAAGTGGGAATCGGGGCTCTGGCGTCTAACCCAACTTTGTCACTAACCAGTTGCATGGATTTAGTCAAATCTCTTTCGCCCCGCTGGGATTTGCCTTGCTTATCTATAAAATTAAAGTGTTGGACTAGATGATCTCCAGAGTCTCTTTTAGGTTTGAGAAGGGCACATGCTATGAGATTCCCTGAGCATCCTTCGATTCGAAAGTGGTGACAGATTAGGGAAAAGACAAAGTCACTGTGGCAGCAGGGACCCAAAGGCCTAATACCATCCCAGTCTTAGATTTGCTTTCTGGTTCTGCACAGTGCACTTGCCCTCTCTGATATTCTACAGAATTACCAACAAACAGACAGATATTTTTTACAAATTTTAAGTCCATCTCTCTCATGCAGGGATGTGTGGATTATTCAGTGAACGATTCTACCATTCTCAAAAAGTTAAAAATCCTTGAGAGATGCTTAAAAAACCTTTCAGCCAATGGGCACAATGAGGTTGTAAGACATTTAATCAAATTAGTAAGAAGTAAAAGAAAAATTGTCTCAAGTTTTTTAAATACCAGAGTTCGCCACTGGGACGCGGAAATAATAGTTTGCCTTTGAAATTATATTAGGTCTTAACTTTTAAAATTTCCATCTCAAGATTAACACCAATAAAAATTCTGACCGGCTGCTCTCCCAGAACCTTTGTCTCTCTTCCCAACTCCCTACCCCACCCGTTGCTCCTGCTGCCACCATCCCTGTCTCCCCGCTCTCCTGTTTCTATTGCTTAAGTCAGCAGAATAATACCTTTGCAACTCAGGCAAACCTTTTTTCTTAGCAAGACAATTTCAAAAAGCCCTATACATGCTAGTTATCTGAAGACCTTCTAACTAGACTCCTCTTTGACATCACCAGCATGTCAACCTAACCCAAATCTGTGTGTGATTCTAAGTACAATTTAATTACAAGAGAACACTCTCAGGATGTGGCAATCTATTTAGCTTGAGAAGGAATGATTCTAAGGAGGCCGAGTAAGTTTGCAAAATTGCTCAGCTGAATTCAGCTGCTTTCCATGGGGACTTTCTCTGGAGGAAAAGAAAAACAGATAAAAATGTAAGCCTGGTGCCAGTGTAATACAATGTGGGGAATCAACTCAGGGAAGGAAATGATACTCCAAGAAAAATGCAGAGAAACTTTAGGACCCAATCTTCCATTTTCCAACAGTAACATATTTAAGTATAATATCTAACTTTAACACCCAGAAAAGATGTAGCAGACATCTTTGGCTGTCGGACTATAATAGTGAAGGAATAAAAATTATAGGAGTGGACTGTATTCACCCCATCTGAGCTCTTCGTAAAATTTCTCTTGGTTAGCCAAAGCTAATTCTTTTTTTCTTTCTTTCTTTCTATTTTAAAAAGAAAAGTCTCATCAAGATGTCCTAGTTATTCTTTATTTCATTTCTTAAATGACATTCCGTCCTCAAGCCAGCAATAGTAACATAAGCAAAGGGAAATGGAGAGTAGAAGACATTCATGAACCCACACTCCCCAAACAATCGCTCTGGGATCAGGATGTGGGGAGTTGACATGAAGAACCGGGTCCCTGAATTACTCAGTTAATAAGCTCAAATCTCCCTTCCTTTGCTATAGAGACAAAGCCTGAGTGACCAACTTCAGGTTCAGCTACTTTCATGAAAAGGCTTTTTAGGGTTATTTTCTATCAAGCCATTCTCCAAGTCTGAAAGTATTTTTAAAAACTGAACAAGACGAAAAAATAGGAAAAGATGGGAAACAAACAAAGAGAAGAGGCAAACGAATTTGGCACTAGGTTAAGGTTGTGTCCCTAACTACCACGGGGAGGCTCAGAAGTACTCTTTTTTTCCTAATGAATGAAAATGAAAGCTCTTCCTCTGCTCCTCGTTTGGCTTGGTTTGACATATTTTATTCTGGTCCTTATTTGGAGAGCCTTTTACCTGAAATACTCTCGGTTTGCTTACAGGCCTCTTCCACCCTCCCTGTCTCCTCGTGGTGGTCTTTGGAGAGGGAAAGAGAAAAAAGCAAGCCAGTTGGGGATGGGAGGTGGGAAATATGAGAAATTTTCTCCCAATCCTGAATCTTACCTGCACTTTTCAGAAAGGGATCAAGATGGGGGATATGCAAAGGAAAAAAGCCCCAGCCCTGGACACAGGGTGTCCAGTCAGCCAAACTCCTGCTCGAGACCAGCCAGTGTGCCCTTTCCCCTCCAAAATCGTTTTTAAAATTCAACCCTCAACTTTCAAAAATCTGTCTCTAATTTCAAACTCAAATAAGCGCACAGCATGGTGGCTTTTGTTTTGTTTTCTTCTCCCCAACTCCTCCCTGCGATTGCATAACAAAAGTGTCTAAATTCACACCATCTGGCCGATAAAGACACTGGCCTCACTGCCCGGCTGGCCCATCTGATTAGGGCCCCGTCTAGCCTGCGCCTTGTGGCGAAAAGTCACAGCTGTGGGGTTTGCTCGCGCTCAATACAACTCTGTTATTAGCCAGCTGTAGGCCTTGAGACGACTTCTGTTCAAATTATAATATCTTTTAACCCTCTGAGCATTGAGGGCACAGGGGTGGCTGGCAGCGACATAACAACTAGACTTCTCCTTGCTAATAAATGGCAAAATGAACTAAAGCAGGGAAGAGGGGAGAGGAGATCACTGGGGAAGGGAGAGAAAAGTTATACCTAAAAGAGATTTATTTTGTTGCCGCCTAAAAGCTAAACACCAGTTTATGAGCTTTTTTTTTTTTTTTACTAAAGATTACAGAACACAAAACCATTCAGGAAAATTCCCAGGTATGCCCAAGAACACCTTGCAAATGAAACTAAGTGTGTGCAGTACCCACTGAGAAACAGAGCATCTGATTCATCCCTTAATCACTGACTGTGATAACTGACTCTTAAAATGTGAGAGAAGGAACTTTTTTCCCTGAAAAAAGTCAACCAGCTCTGACTGACAGATTGAATGGGAACTTCCCTTTTAGATGCATCCAATGCTTGCCATCACCCCAGCTCATCCCCCAAAACACACACACACACACACACACACACACACACACACACACACACTACAGACACAGTACCCATCCCATGGATCATTTATTTACCCACAGTTAATATTTGTTTTAAATTCTAGTTTGGGAAGAAAATAGCAGAGCGTCTTCCCACGTCTCAAATGCAGAAAAGTTACAGTACATTAAATTTTTATATTGTATTACTAATGCAGACTAAACTAGAGGCTTTAAAAATTGATGCTGCTACTTAAACAGCATAAAATGAGGAGGATTTGATTGGGCTTAAAAAATAAAAATGTCAGCCTTAACTACAGCTGGATAGGGCATGCAAGTATTATTTAAAGTGATAGGTATAATTCGTCAGACAATGGGCCAGATTTAGGTTTTGTTTTCTTTTCTTTTAAGAAGATAATCTCTCCAAACAAAGACATTTAAAAGTAGAAAGAAGAATTTAAAAAAAAAAAAACACCTGCCTTTCACTTAGCCTACCAAATAAAAGTGTTCTATTTAACCTAGGTACTACATGCAAGTTCATCTTGGAATTGTATTTTCTTTCTGAATGTACCTATCAAGGGGCCCTGGGATAACGGAGTAGCCATTTGCTTACCCCATTGTCCCACACCTCACCCAGCACTCAGGAGAGGAAGCCTCGAGTCCCCTCAGCTGAGGCCACTGGCAGAGTTGAACTTTGCAGTTGGCAAAGTTTGTTTTTCTAATACTTGGTCAAAACCAAAACAAACATGTCTGATTGTTATGGTTTCTTCCTGACTCCATGAGGAGGGAGACGGGGCTGCCGGGAGCTGCCCATAAAACAGTCCAAACTAAATCAGACTGCCTGCAATTACCCAAAGTCTGGAGTTGGAAGACATTCACTGAAGCAACAGTGGAGTTAGGAAGAATTGAGGCTTTCTCTCCAATCAGAGATTTTGGAGGAAGAAAAATGTGCATGGAATAGCATTTAAATTTTTATAATAAAATAACCACCTCTTCCCAGAGTTTCCTTTCTATAGCTTTTCTCCTTTGCTGTGGGATTCCCCCATAACCAGCACATATCAGACACTCAATAAACATTTATTGAAAGAATGAGTAAATGTACGGGTTAATTTTTTTTTTAAATTTTCTTCTGCTCCAGCAGAAGAAAGGACTCGAAATGGATTGGTCTCAGAAGAGAAGATGGGAAAAGGTGTAGGAATTCGACTTAGACTGCACCTTTCACAACTTGGCCCTCAGAATCCAGCTGTTGCTCCAGACCTCGTACCTCCCCGGTTGGGGTCCTCTCCCCCACTTCCTCCCATCCACAGGTGGTGAACCCGACTGGTCTTTCTAGCCGGTAGTTCCTCCTGACCTAAGAAACTCCCGTGGCTCGGGAAATCTAGGAAAAGCAACTTCCCTGGAGGAAGAAAACGCTTCTGCGGCACAGACAGGTGCCTCAGCTGGGGGGCAAAGGGTAGCGCCCCCAAAGCGGGCCGTTCCATCCCCTGCGGTAGTCGCCCGCCCAGACTGCCAGTCGTTCCAGGACCTTGACTCGGTAACTCCACAAGTGGCCCCTCCTGTGCATCTACCCCTAGCGGGTCGGACCGGCGGGCCTAGGACCGCGACCGACTCAGGGAAAGCCCCCGATCCCAAACTTGACCCGCGGCTGCCCAGCCCCTCCCCGCGCTGCCGCCGACCGCTGGACAGCGGACCTTCCACGGAGCACAGGAAACTCCTGAGACGCCTGGGGGTGGAATCCTGAGTGGTTCTGGGTTTCCTGTTCGACTCCCAACCCATTTGCTCTTAGAATCTGTCTTTTAAGGAGGCAAGCCCGAGCGAGGCCGCCCGCTCCGCGCGCCAGCGCTCGCGAAGGTCAGCGCCCGAGACGCACGCGAGCCAGCGCGCCGGGCGCAGCTCACCTGCCCCGCGCTCCGGCAAAGCCTGCAGGAAAACACGGCTCTTACCTGCACATCACTTCGTGTGTCAGGAGAACTCGGCACATTTCCGGATTCTTATTTTGTCCCTCGTAAGCTATGGGCTGCGAAGGAGGCGGGGGCAGGGTGGGGAGATACGAGGGAGTGGAGGGACAAAGAAAAGGGGACTTAAGAGCGAGCACAAAATCAGGTTTCCTCTCTCTGCCCGCTACTTCCTCGGGAGCGCCCGCTGGCAGCACAGAACCTGAGCTGTGGCCTGGTTAACTCGAGCGAAATAGTAAGAGAAAAGTTTGCCCTGGTGAGGACATATTTCTTGCAAAAGGGAATATTTGGGGGGGGACTGAATCTCCCAATAATTGTTTCCCCTCTTCATCCCTTTGCTTACCTACTCCCATCTCCAGAGTCTCCCCAGCCAGAAAGACAGGACAATTGGGGAGTGAGAGGGAACATTTATTTTTCCAGAGCAGACAAAGTGTGGGTTTCTGTGGAGGGGCTGTGAAGACTGACCCAGGAAATCGCGGAGGGTAGGGGGAGGTCAGAGACAGGCCAGAGGGGGGAGGGGGCAGGACGGAGGGCCCCACCCCCCACCCCCGCGAGAGGAGGGGACAGCCGGGCTCACCTGCTTGGTGACCGAGTCGATGAGCCTTACGTACAGGTCCTGCTCCGTGCGGACACCTGCCGGGGAGGCAGGAGGGCGCGAGGTGAGGGCCGCGGAGCCCCGCCCGGGCATCCCAAACCTGTCCCGCCGTGGGGCCCGGGCCCAAGCGCAGGCGGAGCCGTCCTGGGGGCAAACACCACCCGCCCGCCCCCGCCCCCGGCCCTGAGCGAGCCTCCCGCAGCCCTGCTCTCCCCAGGCCTGGAGCCCGCCTGCCGGTGACCGCGACAAGGTCAACTGCCTTCCTTGAAAAGAGGAACAAGCGGGCGCCGCGGGCACTCAGGGCACTCACCGTTGCTGTAGAGGAGCTGTAACTTGTAGTGGGTGCCATTGTTGGTCTTCTCGTTGCCTTGTTCCTGAAAAGACAGAGTCCCTTGCTTTCCAGACCCCGAAGAGAAGAGAGAGGGGGCTTCCCTAACCCACTTCCCACTGCCTTTCTCCCAGTCACCGGGCAGCTTTGAACAGCCCCCTGCCCAGGTCCGGGTCAAAGGGCAGGAGCATCTGCCGCTGTCCAAGCTCCAAAACTTTCCAAGGCTGGCGGCCACTTGACCCTCTCTAACCGTCTGTCCCTCCCCCTTCAAAATGCCCTCAGAAGCGCGACTCCGGAGCTGGGGCCACCGGACACTATGTCCAGGCTGCCTTTAAACAGGCCCCACCCAACCTGTCGGGTTCTGCCTGTCCTGCAGAAAGGTGAAGGGACCTGTCACTTGGAAGAGCAGCATTTGGCCCTGTCCCACCAGGACCGCAGCCTTGGAGCCACTACCTCAGGGACCCAGGTCCGGGTTCAAGAAGAACCTTGGGAAGAGCCGGCTCCAAAGCTTGAACGGTGCAGCTGAAGAGACGGAGGCCCAGAGAGCAAGAGACTTTCCTTTCCTCCCACATCACCTTCGTTTGAGATAAAATCCAGCGCCCATACCGGGGCCTGGGCAGGGGCAGGCACTGCCTTGGGAACCAGAGTGGAAGAGAAGGCTGGGGGTGGAGGGGCAAGGCTGGGCTATGGGTTTCAACCTTGTACCTATGTAACCCACCCTGCCGCGCTGGCAGGTGCAAAATAATAATAATAATAAATAACCCGGAGAAGGGCAGTGGCGGCTTTGAGTATACGTTTAAACTATGCTCTAGTTGGAAGGACTTTGCTCCGCCGTCAGTCCGTGCCCAGGCTCTGCTAATGATCCAGAAGCCGGGTGCGCAGAGCCACAAGCACCGCTGCAGCGGGAGGTGCGGGCGGAGAGTTGCCGGCGGGAGAAGCTGCGGGGAAATCGACTGATTTAAGGGCTAGGGGTGAGAAGCCTCGATTTATCATCCCTGCTGATGTGAGCGGAAAAGTGTCGGGAGTGACAGATGGGATCTTTAGTGCTTTGCAAGGAGGTAGTTATTAGGCCGCGAGGGGAAGAGGGGGGCCTCCGCTTACTTTGTCGTTCTCCACAAAGTCTACGAAGGCGGTGCGCTCTATCTCCACTGGCTGCCCCTGCCTGTCGTAGAGCGCCAGGACGAAGTGAAAGAAGTTGGATTTCCTCAAGTTGGAAGGAGGCTGCTTCTCAAAGTGGGCCCGGGACAGGGCTACTCCGCTGCGCACGAAGAGACACGGGGGACACCAGACACGGGGAAGGAGAGAAAGACACGAAGTTACCAACGCGCCCACGCAACATCTCGGAGGGTCAAGGGTCCATGTCCCGGTCCAGGCTTCTGAACCCCTTGGGCGCTTTTTTCTATTAGGATTAAGAAGCGGGGACTCCTTAGAGGAGTCACAGTGGCCACGGGGGTCGGGGTAGCAGGGCCCACGACTCTGGACTTTGCCACCGCCAGCCGTTCCAGCCTCCGGGCATCTCATGCCCAGTAGCTCAATGTCCGGCCTTTAGTGGAGACCAAGGAATCGTGACTGCAGGCCGAAGCCCGGAGGGTCACCCCGAGACGGCGGCCCAAGTCTTGTCGTTGTGCTGCCCCAATCTTCTTCCTCTTCCCGCCGCCGACCGGGTCGGGATTCGGAGCTGGGCCCGAGGGGTAGGGGACTAAGCGCCTCGTTATTTTTGAACAAGTGACCCTTTTCCTTCATCTTCATTGGAGTGACCTGTCCTGGCACTACTGCCCACAACGCACCACCCCCCAAGCTATCTCGGAGAGGCGGCGGGAGAGAACCCCCTGGGGGCGGATGGGAAGCCCAGAGGCCAAGTCTCGGTCCTACAGGGAGAGGCCTCACCTCCTGCTTCCCTCGCTCTTCCGAAAAGTTGCGCCTGGGACAGTGGCAGGGCAGAATCCCCCTCGACCAGTACTAGCGATCGAGGACCACCGCGGGTGACATAATACTGAGGACCCCTCCCCTAGAAGCCGAAAAGTTGAGGCAGAGCGCGTCCTCGCCTGGGGCCGAGAGTCTCCCCGCTCTAGCCGCATCTCTGGGCGGCGCCGGACAAACGCGCTGACGGCGAAAGCCGTGTTAGAGGACCCGGCAGGCGCCCTGAAGCGTGTTGAGTATGTGCACACACCTTCCTGCCGACCTGTCGCGGCCGGGAACAAACTGGCCGCCAGATCACATTTAACGGGAGACTCGGGGTCCAGGCGAGCAAGCAGATGGACGGAGCTGCTCCGGGGCGCTGGGGTCGCGGGGCGTCCTGCCCCAGGACGCGAGCACTCTCCCTCTTTTGAAGGGTGTAAAATTTTGACTAGACTCCCCCAACGGACAGCCTGTTCCAACTTTAACAATTACTTGATCTGGGAAAGGAGGAAAGTAGGGGAGGTGTCTTTCAGGAGCTCGGCTAGGGAACTGCGCCGTGGAGACCGGTCTGCGGCGCTGCCTGGTTTCCCTCAGCCTGCAGCCCAGCGAGTCCCCCAGACGGCCGCGGAAAGCCGCCGCCACGGCGTGCCATCTGCTGAAGGACACTGGCGCCCCCCCGGGCTCGGGCAGGAGGGAGGGAGCCGCCGCCTGCCCCGGTCTCCTGAGCAATGCGACTTTTGCTTCCTCTCCTCCAAGGGTGGCGGCCCGGTTCGCTCTACCCGGGACACCTAGAGTCCTGGCCTGGAGAGGAGTAATTTCTCTGCGTGATGTCGGGACTGCGAGGGGCATGGCCAGGAGAGTGGATAGAGAGGCGTAGTGCTGGGTAGAAGTCTTGGGGGTAAGGGGGCTGTCTCTCGCAGACAAGGTCGTGGAGATCACAAACCTCAGCTCAATAGTCGTGGTGAGGGAGGGGAAGCAGAATGTCTTCATGGGGTGGCAGCCTAGACAAGGCGTTTACTACGTCAGCAGGAGAATGCTCACAAAGTCAACTTCAGGGACCAGCAAAACTAGAGGCTTGTGATCCCTGCGTTTGCGGTGCGTCTCCTTCCTTCCGTGACTCTTTCTACTGTTACTCCTTCGTCTTTTCTCTTTAGTCTCTTCTCGACCCTCACCCCCGCCTCTGTACATCTAGTCCACTGTTTTCTCTCTGCACCCGTACCCTCCAGCCTGCCCCCCTCCCAGGGCACCCGGCCGCTCTGCCTTCCCAGGCAGGCGCTCCGGCCTTTCCTGCTCCTCTAGCCACCATCTGGCCTTGGGCTTTCGGCCTCCAAGAATCGGCCGGCAAGATGCGGGAGGAGAGGCGCTCGTAAGCAGCTGGGCGAAACCCGGGAGTCGCCGGGAAGCCGGCTCTCCTCCAGCGGCCGCCGCTGCCGGCTCCGGTCCTCACGCTCTGCTCCTGGCTGGGCCCGCCTCGCAGAACTAGGGGCTGAGCTAAGAGGCATCAGATACTACTTTGTTATTTTTCCTCCCAAGAGTAGTCTGTGGGGAAGGAGTGGGGCATACAGGCAGTTCAGAAACTCGAGTGTTGGCTACGGGATAAGTGTTCCCCTAACTGCAGCGATCTGCCTGCCGGAGGGCGAGCCCTAGCGTGCGGGGCCAGGGCGACAGATGCGGGGGAGAGAGAGCGAGCACGAGCGCGAGCAGCGAGGGGGGTGACACACACACACACAGAGAAAGACAGTGAGAGAGAGGGAGCGAACAAGCGAGAGATTGCGAGCATAATCATTGTGCAGCCGTCTCGTTACCTCTGCGCAGCGACATTGGCGTCCACCACGCCGACATTCCGGACCCAGGACCTGACCGAATCCATCTCGGCGCCCAGCGATTTCTCTTTCAGAGCTGGTCCTCTTCCTAAAGTATCTTGGATCCCAAACATTTAAAAAGTCTGATCTACTGTCGCTTTAAAAATGAGTTACAACGCTGTCCTCACTGTTCCCAACGTTGTCACCAAACCGTCTCCTCCAAAGCAATCCAGGAAGAGGGATCAAGTGCCGAAGTTTGAGTCTCTCTGGTGAAAAAAAAATTTAAAAAGATAACCCGTCCTTTGCTTCCACGCGTGAGGTGCGGACTGATGTAGTTAAAGTTTGGGTTATATCCTCCTCAAGTTCAGATCTGCCGCCTCAGGCCCTCCGCCCTAGGTCTCTCGCATCCTTCCAGTGGCAGCGCTGCCTCAAGAAAGTGATCACAATTTTGAAGCATCACCTGTTCTGGGAGAAACAGGAGGAGATCGATGTCTGCCTAATCTCTCCCCTTCCTCCTGGTCCCCCACCCCCCCCTCCCTGCTCCTCCCCACCGCTCCAATTTAGAAAAAAAAAAAAAAAATCCCCAACAGTATCAGTTGTGAAAGGAAGGGGAAGACCCGGAGCCGAGAGGAGGAGGTGGCTGCGAGCGCTGCGGAGCCGGGCTACAGCCGCTCGCCTGCCCCATGAATGGGTTACTACGGCCCGGGCCGCGGAAGGCGGAGCCGCGGCCCGATAAGGAGCCTCATTTGCATGGACGCTCGGGATTGGCCGGCGCTGGGCAGGCCCGGCCGACGTCCTCTGGCGGCGCGCGCCCCGCTCGGCGTTGCCTGGAGTCCGGGAGGTGAAAGGGGACAGAAAGCTGCGGGCCCTGGGTCTTAGCCCGAACCCCATGTGCGCGCGTGAGATGAGGGCCCGCAAATCCTGCACTGAAGCGGGGTAGCCCGGCCCTGCCGGCTGGTACGCGCCGGCTCAGTCTGGTCGCGGGAGCGGGAGGCTTCCATGGATCCTGCCTCTCAGATTTTTGTAGCCTGCGGGAGGCGTATTCATTCCCGGGGCTTGGGTTCTGTGTGCAGGTTTGTGAAGAAGCGGAGTGTGACCGCATGTACTTATGTTTGGTGCAAACGTTCCCGAGAGCAGCCCAGTTTCCCTGGACGGCTCTCCCAAGTCTCCTGGAGTTACTTGGTGACACTCAGGTTTTGTGTGCGGTTTACAAGTTGAGAGACAAGGATATATGAATGAAGGCGGGGGTGGGGACGAACAAGGCTCAAGTGCTATTCAAATAAACAGAGTGGCGGGGGAAACGGTCAAAGAGCTAAGGAAAATACGCCCGGGCGGACGCGAGCGGGAGTTGCACCCGTGCAGATGAGAGGTTGCTGACAGATCGTGGCAGGCTGAGTGCTAGAGCTGCCCTGCCTTGTCCCGGGAGCCCCCTCCTGTCCCCAGTACCCCTACCCCCCGCCCAGTTCCCGAAACCCGGGGGAGCCAGCAGAGGAGCTGCTGGGAGGCAGCGGGAGAGTCGCGGAAACTTTGCCCAAGGCGCGCGGTCGCCGCGGTGCTGGCCGCGGGCTGATGATGGCCGGGAGACGGCTGCAGCTCCGCTAAACAGCTGAAACTCTAGGCGGCTTTTTAACTACGCCGGGCGGCTCGCAGTGCCTATTAAAACTCCTCCTGGCTGGGTGTTATTTTCTTGCTTCTCCTTTTGTATTCTGATCTGCGCATAGATCTGCTACTGAAATCTAGAACACCAGCGCGAAAACAGATTTGAAGACAATGAATGCAAATCTGTGCTCAAAGACCATCTGCCGTGGAGGAGACAAATCAGCTGTTCCGCAGTTCGAGCGACTGTGCCCGAGCCTCCCGGCCTCATTACCGAGAGGGCTTTGGCGAAAGCCTGGATTTCATTGAGGAGACTTTCCCCCCCACTTAGGACTCAAATTTGAGTGTGAATTGACTCCCGACCAGATCCCATAGGTGTGTAGGTGAGCGCTCACAAATGAACTGCGAGAGTTTGCCGCTAGAGGACACAGCGCCTTGCAACTCGTTTGCCTGGGCAGACAGGAAGCTCGCACTTTCAGAAATGCCGCTCTCCTGAGAAAGGGACGGATCCGCGCCTCCACTCTACCCCTGGGGCAAACCGCGACCTGACTGCGGGGACGGATAGCGCTCAGGAAGCTCATGTCTTTACTGCGGAGATTCTCTTGAAAACCGATGGGGAGGAGGAGAGGGTGCCCTGACCCTCTTTACACAAACCCGGATCCTGGGATTGGGGAGGTTGATGGTGGGGGTAGAGGGCGTAGAGACCGTGAAGTCCCCGCCTCTGGGTTGTGTAGACTGTGGCACCCCGACTCCACGGCTCTGGATTGGCCTCATTGGACAAGAGGGGCAGAGGGAGCCATAAGGGCAACTGGGCATAAGGATATGGAACGGGACTGTTGTAAAAGCCAAGTAAGATAGTTGTCCAAAGAAGGAAGAAGGAGGGTGGGAGAAAAATTGGTAGGATGAAACTTACTACCTTGTTTCAACTAGGCAATTCTCTATTGTATGCAGATTTTACCGGTAATTTCAGTCCCTGCAAAAACTAACCGCCCGGAGCCTTCTACCCCGGCCCCACGCTCTTTGTAAATCTCTCTGAACCTCAAGTAACCACCTACCCCCATCCTCATCCTCGGGCTGTGCCCGGCGGAGCCAATGGGCTCCTTGGCGGAGAGTGCTGAACAGCCCGTGAACCCCTCAAGACGTGTCGAGGAGCCCGGCGATTTTTGTTTTTCAGGGGGCCTCTGACCTGCAGCATCTCGTACTAGGAGAGGTACGGGGCGCAGCCCCGAGGGGCCGCGAGGCAGCCGTGGGCCCGGGCCTGGCCCGGACCGTCTTCCCCTCGGGCCCGTGTTGGCTGGGGTTAAAGGGCAGACCCGGGGTCGAGGACACTGGCTCTCCTCTCCCGCAACAGCTGCTACCCAAACTTATGCCCCTCAGGAAGCGAATGAATGGGTTCTTTCTCCCGGGTCCCTGCTGCCCGCCCCAGACCAGACCCACCGAACCCCACCTCCCAGAGAGGAGTTCAGAGGCCGTGGTGCTCTGCCGGGTGGCAGTTTAAAACACCGTGGCCCCGTAACTATGACCTGGGTGTAGCGGGGAGCCGCACTGCTCCTCGCGGGCTCGACTACCGCACTGGGCGATCGGGGCGAACGGCCGCCAAGATGCCGCGGGCCCTGTGGGCTTCGAGCCGCGGACGCCGAAGTTCCCTCCAGGCTGGGACGGAGTTCCCTGGCTAGCGCCGGGAGGGGGGTAGAGGGGGCCAGGAATGGGGGAGCAGCCTTGGGCCCCGCAAGGCGGCGCTTCGGCCTTGGCAGAACAGGTAGCGTCTCTGCCCCCCGAGTTGGGTTTAATTAGCTTCGTGTGGGTATTCGGGAGGGGTGGGTGCACAGTCGGCCACGCGCGCCTTGGAGGAACGCGGTTTAGCGACGGAGTGAGCGTCGGTGGCTGCGCCTGGAGAGTCTCTCGCCTCTCTCTCGCCTCCGGCGACCCCCGAACAAACCTTTTCGAACACACCACACAAAACCCGCCCTGAGCCGCACGGGGGCCCGATAGGCGCAGCTGCGGCCCGGGGAAAGCCCGGCCCGGCGGGGGTGAGGCGCCCGCGCGCGCCTCCCGGGCTCCGGCCCGCCAGCTTCGTTCCGCCCCTGGCCGGGGTCGAGAAAATCCGAGATGAACATTATTTAAATGCTTCCTGACCATCTAGTTACATAAAACCGAGGCGGGGGTGGTGTTATTCCGTCTTTTACCCTGTCCCCTCCTTTGTTCGCTCTTCCCAATGAACCCCCGGGTATTTTCCCCCGTTCATGTTTCACATCTGCATCTCGGTGCGCTATGTTCAATGTCCTCCCGACTGGCTGTAAGGCCCATTTCCCTAGTCTCTCCGTCCAGTCTCCTGGGCGCCGCGTCTCTCCTCCGGGTCAGAGGTTCGAGCTTTTTCTTAGAAAATTGCTCTCTGGGCCTAGTTCTCGTCCATCATGGCCCTGAGGTGAAATCGGAGGTGTGAGAACGCTTCCCTCCCACAGCCCGACCTCCACCCCCAGCCCCAGACACACACGCGGCGCCTGGGTCTAAGCAACCCGACGGACAGAGCCTGACTAGTACCCAGGGAATGAGATCCACAGGGACAGTCGGTCTGGGTTTGATAAATGAAATAAGTAGCAGTCTCTTCGGACGTGAATTTTCAAATTTGTTTGTTTTAGTTGGCACCTTTGATTTTTATTTGTCCGAGTAGAAATAGTTTTGTCACCATCTCAGAACCCTGACGAATATTTAGCTCACAGTGCTTCGTGAAATAATTTTTTTAAATATCCAACTCTCCTCCCTCCCACTTCAAATTTCAACTTTACATCAGTGAAATATCCAAATCCACTAACTCCATTCCAAATGTCTTACTGAAATTGGACTTGAATGCTCCATAAATGAGAATTTCCGGGGACGGTGGAGGGGGGCGGAGAAACTACGGTATTCACAAATGTACTACAAATATTTCACGAGGACTCCACCATCCATACCGAACAGAGCCCTTTTAGGACAATTTAGTAAGAATTTAGATCCTCTTCCTGATTTGCTTTTACATACTGAAGGCGATTTTACATACTGAAGAGCTACAGAAATACGGAGGCGTCGAAAAACACTTTCTAGACCCACGATGTGCCACCCAGGCCGGTCAAAATGGACGGAGGGAGCCAGAGTTGGTTCTATCCTAACAACCGACAACTCCAGAATATCTCTTCCTCCTCTCTCTCCTCTTTTTCTTCCTCTTCTTTTCTCTCCCGCTCCCTCTCCCCCCTTAGAAATACCCATCCCTCCCATTTCCTTGTTCCGGGAATGCCGAGCGAGCGAGGGAGCCGAGGCAGAGATGCGGGAAGGTCAAGAGAACAAATGTTTGGAGCGGCGGCCGCGTTTGGGCGTTCGGAGCGTGGACATCGGAGCAGAGCCCGCGGTGTGTGTGTGTGTTGGGGGACAGGTGATCCGTAGGGAGAGCAGTGTTGGTGCGGCCTCCACGCCCACCTGGGGACCTGATTTCCTGGGTGCGTTGGGTGGCGTGCTCGTCAAGCCCCGGGTTTGGGCTGTGCTGGGGTAAACCGGCCGGTTGCAGTCCCTTCCAGGAAGCTGCACACCAAGGCGGTGGCATCTCCGTCACCGCGGTGTTAAGGCGCAGCGGTCCAGGGGCGAATTGACCCTCACTAAGAGGCCCAATCGAGCAAGTGTCCACGCAGAATAGGGCTGAGAGGAAGGCACAAACGAACGGAGGCAGGACGTTTACCCAACACTGCCTGGGATCCAGGCAGTGCCACGCACTTTCTCACCCTTAAACTTGACAGCCACACTTGAACTGGGACCTATTTGCCCCCATTTTACAGTTGAA